AATGAGAAGAACTCGTAAAAATCTGCATGGTAGTTTATGTAGAAATATGCGCATACTTAATTTAGTAACCTATCTTTAGCTCATAATTGTTAATTTTATCTTAATTTGGCATCCTAACAACGTGGGGAGCCAATTTCTTCACAAACCACTGTTTTGTTTTTGGCTCAAGTGTGAATGGATATTAATTTACAAAGTCAAAAAGGGTGGATTATGTGAAAATGCTATGTAGCAGCTCAGCCAATGGATCATGAAAATTGCTCTAATTCCCTGCACTATACATAGTATCCAAAGTTGGAAGAGAAGTAAGAAAAGAGATTGAGAGAGGATTTCTGAAGAAGAAAAAGAATGACAATGGCTGACATTGCCACCAAAGAAACAATGAATGAAGAGATAAAGAAGAATAATAGAATTCAAGTGTCCAATACCAAGAAACCACTCTTCTTCTATGTCAATCTTGCAAAGGTTAGATATGGAATCGGTGTGTGTATTTGTGTGTTTTAAATTTATCATTTATTACTCAAAAAGAATAGTATGTTTATTATTTATTTTTGGGAATACAGAGGTACTTACAGCAACATAAAGAGATTGAGCTTTCAGCATTGGGAATGGGTAACATTTTCAATCACTTTCTTTTACGGTTTTCCTAATCTAGATTCTTCTCTCATTTTTATGTGAATTGAAAAAAAAAAAAAAAATCATGTTTATTAGAAACATAAATGTCTTTTCTATTTTCAATTGGGAATCTTATTGCTGAGAATTGTTTTGAATTACTCTTGCAGCTATCACTACCGTTGTAACAATATCTGAAATTCTTAAGAACAACGGATTTGTCAAGGAGAAAAGTGAGTAAATCAATTTAATCTTTTTTTTTTTTATTTCTTCTTTTTGTTTTAATATGATGTTATGGATTCAAATAGAACAACACAATCAAAATGATAACACTCTTATCACGAATCATGAAAGGCATTTTGACATCCACTGTTGGAACTAAAGATGCAACCAAAGGCCGCACAGTTCATAAAGCTAGGGTGAGTATCTACTTGATGGATACATTCTGCAAATTTTATACCAATGTGCATTTCAATTTATTCACATATGATCACATTTTACCATATAAGAAGGTGAAAATTCAATTTAGTATGAATTTATATTCTGATTCAAATAGTTCCAATGGTTAGATCAATGGTCCACATATCTGGGGATATATAAACCAAGAATTAGTTTTATTGATCTCTTTATACTTGTCATCGTTTTCAGATTGAAATTGTTCTCCAGAAGTCTGAAAAATTTGACTCCCTAATGGCTACAGCACAGAATGCGAACGCAAATGTCAACGCTAATGGTGAAGTTAAAAAGTAGCAATAGCACCAGCATATTTGTGTCCTGCATTGTACCTCAGTTTAGATACAATGATATCTAACACTTATAATAAAATTTCATTACCTCAACATTATGTTAAATTTCACAGGACAGTTTTAAGTTATGGAATGGAAGCTCAAAATCTCCTGTGTAGAAAGTGTAATCCAAAGTTATATATTTATTTGGTCATCACAAGTGTAATTATTATCTACTGAAGAGTGCAACAGAACCTGTTATTCAGAACAGACATTATCTAAATTTAACATTGTATAAAAACTTCAATTCTACTTGTGTTGCAAAATGCCAGCAAACAGTGTGATATAATTTTCCTTCCACAATAACTGATTATTGATACTTGCCAGATATGAATTGATAATTAATAGTTCAAAAGTTTCCTTTTTAAGCAATATACAAAACTGCCCATCTGAAAATAACATGAAAATCCCTTCCTGCACACACACACACACACAGACAGAGAAAGAGAGAACAAATGCAGAGAGCCCCATAAATCATCACAGAAACTCAATAGTTCTCTATGTCAACATAACCATACATCCAAATTCCAGAATACACCTCAATTTATCAATGCACGAATTTCACGTGAGCCGAACACAACTTCCTTCAGACGAGCCACTATTTCAGAAAACAAATTCGAGTTAGTCCATTCGGTTTTCCCTCTACAGAAAGCTCATCATTATCCTAATCGGAAGTCGACAAGTCAGCTTGCTGGGCTTTGAGCTCCCGAACCAATTTCTCCTTCTCAGCAAGCAAATCATTAGCCTTCTGCAGCGCCTCCCCATCATACTCAGCTTGTTCTTCCATCATCCTCAAGTACTGCAGAGCCTCCATATGTAAAGCCGCTTTTTCCTCTTGCAGTCGAGTAATCATAGCCATTGCCTGGCTTGCAGCAACTGCCGAAGCACTTCTCTCCTCCTCCAGTTCCCGATAAAGACCACAAATTATTCGCCTGTCATGCTCAACCTGTCGTTTTAGCCTGTCCACCGAGCTCTCACCCTCGATTTCACTCAATGTTGTTCCATCGAGAGATAATCCGGACTCGTTCCTCTCGAGTGAGATTCGCCTTTGGATTGTTTGGTCTTCACTGTTGGCGGCTGATAATTGGGACAGCAGGAGTTTTAGGTCTTCACTGGCTTTTGTTGACTCAGCCATTGACTTTTGTTGTTCTAGGAACTTTCCGGAAAGTTGTCTGCCTCGAGTGCTGCCGCTGACTGCTAATCTGTAAGCATCACCGAGGTCGAGAGATTGCGTCTTGTTGGTCTCTGGTCTTGAAGCATTCGTAGGATCTAATGTGAAAAAAATTTCGAATGATGAGAGAACAGAACTGTGTTGAAAATAATCAACTCAGAAAAACAGTATTCTGTTCTGTGACTTCTTGATAAGTAGAGTGAATAAAACATAAGTGCACTTTCAGAAAACGGCATATACTTCTTCTAAATGACGAAATAAGCGCAGCTCGTCAAATTCAATGTGTGCTTTATTTATATAAGCAGAAAGATACATAATACACTTCTTCAACTTACCATTTCTCTTCAATTCATCATATTGGGTCCCATCAATATCCGGAGATGGAAGAACCTCTGAAAAGGGTTCTATAGTATGACGTGAATTGGTAAGGTCTTGAGGAGCTTGACCATCATCAGCAATAGTAAGAATTCGAGGTTCTGTGGATAAATACTTTGTCTCTAAATCTGGGCCCGATATCTCCACCTCACGTATAACTGTGTCGGCACTTTGGGTATCCGAAAACGGGCTTTCTGACCCAGAATCAGAAGTAACCTTAACCTTTGTATACCCCAAATGCGGAATTTGCGCATCAGGTCCCTGAGGACTGATTGATATGCTCTGAGTCAACTCGCAGGCCCAAGTTCTTGAAACCCATTGTTCGTTGCAACAAATGCATTTTCTCAAACCACTTTTGACTCGGCCATCACGAGGCACGGCTCCCAATTCGCCTACCAGAATTTTGCAAGTCTCAGAATTCGATTTGTTTAAAATGCAACTCTCACACGTCTCGCGAACATCAACGAGGTTATTGTGAATTCGGCAGAGGACTAAAGATGAGATCTTTAGCTTGTGACTTTGGCAGATTAAATCCCTGTAAAAATTATAGCTTTCGCTCGAGCACAGCAAACACGGGATTTGCAGCTGGCAGTAGCGTGCAAATCTCGTGACCAACTGCCACAAACCAGCATTCAGAATAATCAAAAGCATTAACATCCACTCGAAAACTGCCCAAACTAAAGCCGAGACAACAGTGACAGGAATTTTCGGCCCGGCTTCGGTAGCTTGGGCCCGCTTCACGTCCATTAGCACGAAATCCTCCCAGATTGGAGGTCGTAACACTCCAATATAACAGTGATTAATGATGAATTTCAGTACTGTGGCAAAATAAAAGAACATGAAAAAATGTTCTCAGTAAAGATTCAGATTTCCATTGAAGCATTCAACTCAAAATATGACTAGTACAAAACTACGGCCCAATAAATTACTTCCCTAAATATCTCACAAATGTGAAAGTAAAGCAAATAGGACGAAAGACGGGGAAAAAGTCAACCTTTTGAAGGGATCACATAACCCTGACCTTCAAGTTATCAAACACATCGATAATCAACAAGAACTAAAAAGAAAGTGGAAAAAGAAGAGAAAATCACCAACCAGAGAAAAAGGAAGTTCGAGCAACCTCGACCAAGATTCGATCACGAAGAAAACACGGCAAGATTCAGACAACCAAATCAAGGCTCATACAATTTGTATTAAATGGTTTATGAAGCCATAACAGTTAATTAACTCAAAAAGAGGTGCGCATACTTTTCAGAGATGGGAATGGTTGGAAAAGAATGTCAAAATAATGGAAAAAGACAAAAAACCGACAGTGACTAGTAAGAGTCGGGTGGCAACTTGGGACTATCAAACCGAAAGGTGGCCACCCTTCACGCCAACCCCATGTTTTCCCTTCACAATGTAATAAATGTTTTTCGCCCTTTAAGGAGTAATAAATTCCAGCAAATCTGATAATCGATTCAAAGTTTTGGATAGAGACTAGAGAGGTTAAACTATAGCCGAAATCCAGTTAAAAAATGGGAATCCAAAATGTACAACTACTGGTCATTGTTTGTGGGTCAAAAAATTGTTCCCTTTGTTTTTCCATTTAATTTTTAATAGTATTTATTTATTTGTCCCGGTTGAATTTGATCATTTGGACTCGGCGTTTGAACTTGTCAATAAACCCCGCTCAATAATACTCACTCGTGATTAAACTGCAATCTCTCTCTCCTCAAGTATTCTCGGCCGAAGGAAAAGAAAAGACTGTAGCAATGTGGCCTTTCCTCTCTTCATGGCTAAAGGTTCTCGCTCGCCCCTTTACGACCATTGGTGAAGGCCAGCGTCGAGATTCCCCCCTACGTTCGGTGGAAGACGGCATCTCTCTCCCTCTTCTGATTCTAGGTCGGCACCGGGATTTCTCCTTGGTGTCCGTTGGAGGCGGTAGCTCCTTCACTCTCTTCTCTGGCGTCAGGGCTCCTTGATGAAGATGCGGCACGATCTCTCATCACTCCTCCACAACGTTTAGTGGTGGCTAGTGTCTCCCTCGCCCCTTCCGACTGAAGGCCAGGGCTAGGACTTCTCCCTGACATCTGGTGGTGGTCGGCGTCTCCTTTGCCCTCTTGTGTTAGAAGGTCGGCGTCGATGGAGACCGACGTGTGTTAGGGTTGTCGTTCGTCCTTCTTTTGTCCTAGATCCTCTCTCGTTGGTAGATATGGACTCAAGTTTCGTCTCCTCGTTAAATCTGCTTAGTCGTTCCTTGAAGAACCTGAGTTTCTAGGTTTGAGAGTGTTGGATTTGCAGTTTGGGTTTGTGTTTAGACTTAAGGGCTTCTATGTGTGTTGGTTTGTGCTCCAAAGATCGTTGACGGTGTCCTTTAGTGGGCGTTTGTCGAGTCATTGGACTTTTGGGAAGGCGATGACATTCGATGATGATTCAAGTGGTAGAGGCTTAGTGTATTTTATTGTTATTATGTTTTCCTCTCCTCAATAGAGTAGTTTAGTCTTTTTTGTGGAGTATTTTGTCTCCCTTGTTTGGGAGTTTTTGGAGGGGAGTTCATATGTTAGTGACCTCCCTTGATTCATTTCTTTATATCTTTAAATGATCCTTTGTAACCAGTTGATTACCGGTTGTACGTTATTTGATTTTAATATAATTGTATTTGTCGTTTGTGAAAAAAAACACTTGCAATTACATGAGTGCTAGTTTAAAAAATATATATATACTGAAATTCTTAGTATGTGTGTGTGTGTATGTTGATAAAATCCGATTTTTCATTGCACCAACTTTCGGTGGCAACAATTTAACGCTAGAACAAGAGTCCAAATGCTCTTTGGTGTAACCTCACCGGAGTTCAGCCACTTTTCGTCGGCAGATGTCTTCGTCAAGCCATAACTAAAATTATTATATTTATTATTTTATAAATATGCATAAAATAAAACATAATTAATTTCTCTTTAATTCTACAATTGAGAATCTTGATATGTACTTTGTTATAAAGACTTATTATACGAATAAGAAATTATTTTAGTTTCATAAAGTTAAACATATTTAAGAAAAAAATAAAATTTCTTGGGTTAATTGGGTTTACTGAATTGGTTATTGTACAAGTTTATTGGGTCATTTCAGGTAATTTGAAAAATAGTAAAAAAAAAATTAAAAGAAATAACATACATAGGTTGCATTCAAGATGACATATTATAGAACAATTTGACGGACGAAATCGATAATTGAAGTTAGATTTCAATATTAAATATACTTTGTTACAATAAATACAATACAATCCAAATAATAAAATTAAAAATACTTTAAAGAAAACAAGTTCAATAGTATATGAATATATATTTATCTCATTGTATAAAATATTTATGTGAATGTTGTATTATAATTTTAATAATATATACTACCTCCTATTCTTTTTTAATGTTATTTTTGCTTTATTAACTATTAACAAAATAAATGTCGTTTTAGATCTTTTGTACATATTTTTCTATTATTACCCTCATTTAGCTAATAAATACACCACGTCTTTTCATATTCACTCTTCATTTTTTCCCAAAACATCATTCTCTATCTTCATTAAAGAGGGTTATTATTGGCAAAAAAAATATTCTTAATTACTGTGCAACTTCTTCAAACGACACTTATTATGAATAGGAGGGAGTATTAGTTATGCCGTGATTCATGTTACTTATATATCGAATTAATAATACAACTTCAATAACGTTTACCGTTGAATCGCACTAGCCATATACTAGTTATATTATATGAATTAAAATAACTATTGTTTGACAAACTATTTTTAAAAAAAATCAATTTGGCTAATAATTATTATAATCTCACAAAAAAATATAATAGTGTCAGATAAAATTAATAACACAAATTATCCAAAAGAAAATATTTAAAATTTTCATATATGTTTTAATTATAATATATATAATTCATTTCCATACTATTAGTAGTTAGTAGTTAGAACAATACAAGAAGAGGTCATATGAGTAAAATAGGAAAGGTGGAGAGAGGTTTGAAAAAGGGGTAATAGGGTAAAGTCGGCAAAAGGATAACACAAGTTATGACCTAAATACCAATCCCCAACTCCATTGCCTTGGCTGCGAACACCCTCTTCTGCCCTTCGTTCTTCCATCTCTCTTTTCCCCAATTTCCCTTTTCTCTCCTTAGCCCTCTCTCTCTCTCTCTCTCTCTCTCTCTTGCCCGCCACTTTCAAATTCCTGATACCCTTCTCCCTCCTGTCGTCACGCCCACCAATCAATTGAAATCCGATTATGCGTGCGTGAAGCTAATCGGGCAGACGCACGTATTGGTTTTCCGAGATTCTTCTGTAAGGACCTGGATTTGGCAAAGACTCGGGCTTGATGTGAAGAAAGCTTGGTTTTTTATTTAGTTTTAGGTACGTTGTCAATCTTTTCCTTTTTTTCTTTTCTTACTAATTATGTATTTATCTGTGTTCAGTTGCCGGATTCAGATTTTTTTCTTTTTGTTTATCCGTCTCATGTTTGTTGATAGAAACGAAGATGAATCGACTTATTGTCTGAATTTTGAGTGACCCTGATGGATTGGTGAATTCGATGTTATGTTAGTGATTAACGATGTTGTCCTTGGGTTTGTGATTAGGTCGAGAGTTTTGTTGATCTTTGCAAGAAGTGACTTGTTTTTTCTTTAAACTTTTCATGTTGTTATGCCGAACCACTCTCGTGACCTGATTTCATTCAGCTATGATTTTTCTATTATACATAGCATATCAAATGTGTGTGCCTCCTTGAAATACCTGTCGCTTTATCGCATCGTTAATCATTGGTCTGGCTGCATATTCTCTGCAGAAAAAATAACCAAAAAACGAAAAATGACGAGCCACGACATATTACTCGGACAGAATTCCAACAACGCCCTCTCCCACAACCCGCCCATACTTCTCAACCGCAACCACAACAACACCCAAACCCACAGCCTCGATATCGTTCAGCCCCACGACCAAGAAACCCACTTAGCTCAACAAACCCTTGACGAAGTCAACACTACATACGATCCTCCCGAACACGACATTCCACCAGACGACACAAAATCCGAGCAACAGCAGCAAAACAACAGCGAGCTCGACATGTCAGACCCTGACAACGAGCTCGACCACTCCGAAACCCACGAGCTCGACTCTCACATGGAACTCGCCATAATCCAGCACGACTCGTCCAGCCTGGACCAAATTCACGACATGACCACCCTTCACCACCCCCACCACTACTCGTCCCTCGTCCTCACCCCTTCCCACGTCCTCCAGCAGCGAACCCTTGCCGTGGGGCCCAATTTCGAGCTCCATGTCGGCCAAGAATTCGCGGACGTCAAAGCCTGCAGACGGGCCCTTCGCGACACGGCCATCGCCCTCCACTTCGAGATGCAGACTATAAAATCCGACAAAACCCGATTCACTGCCAAGTGTGCAGCTGACGGTTGCCCGTGGCGAATTCACGCTGCTAAACTCCCGGGAGTCCCGACTTTCACTATCCGAACCATAAACGATGCCCACACGTGCGGTGGCATTGCCCATCTCGGCCACCAGCAGGCCTCTGTCCAGTGGGTCGCGAATTCAGTCGAGCAGAGACTCCGTGAGAATCCTAACTACAAACCAAAAGAAATCCTCGAAGAAATTCATCGGACACATGGCATAACTCTTTCCTACAAGCAGGCATGGAGAGGGAAAGAGCGAATCATGGCTGCCATGCGTGGTTCGTTCGAGGAAGGATATCGGCTGCTCCCACAATATTGCGAACAGATCAGGCGGACTAATCCCGGGAGCATAGCTTCAGTGTATGGGAATCCGGTGGATAATTGCTTTCAGCGTCTTTTTATATCCTTCCAGGCGTCGATTTACGGGTTTTTGAACGCGTGCCGTCCGTTACTCGGGCTTGACCGTACCTACTTGAAGAGTAAGTACCTTGGCACGTTGCTTTTGGCGACGGGCTTTGATGGGGATGGCGGGCTTTTCCCGCTCGCGTTCGGTGTGGTGGACGAAGAAAGTGACGACAACTGGATGTGGTTTTTATCCGAGCTTCACGGTTTGCTCGAGGCCAACACGGAGAACATGCCGAGACTGACTATTCTTTCGGATCGTCAAAAGGGGATTGTCGACGGAGTGGAGGCCAACTTCCCGACCGCTTTTCATGGATTCTGCATGCGCCACCTCAGCGAGAGCTTCCGGAAGGAGTTCAACAACGCGGCCCTCGTCGGCCTCCTCTGGGACGCGGCCCACGCACTCACTGTAATCGAGTTCGAGGCGAAAATTCTCGAAATCGAGGAGGTTTCACAGGACGCCGCCTACTGGATTCGCCGGGTCCCGCCTCGCCTTTGGGCCACGGCCTATTTTGAAGGGATGAGATTCGGTCACCTGACGGCTAATCTTCTCGAGTCGTTAAACGCGTGGATATTGGAGGCCTCGGGCTTGCCCATCATCCAGATGATGGAGTGCATAAGGCGCCAGCTCATGACGTGGTTCAACGAGCGGAGGGAAACGAGCATGCAGTGGACCTCGATTCTTGTCCCGAGCGCCGAGCGTCGTGTGGCCGAGGCGCTCGAGCGCGCTCGAACTTATCAGGTTCTTCGGGCAAACGAAGCTGAATTTGAGGTAATCTCTCATGAGGGGACTCATACAGTTGATATACGCAACAGGTGCTGCCTGTGCAGGGGCTGGCAGCTTTATGGGCTTCCGTGCGCGCATGCTGTGGCTGCTTTGCTGTCGTGCAGGCAGAATGTGCACAGGTTCACTGAGAGTTGCTTCACGGTGGCTGCTTACCGGAAAACGTACTCTCAGACGATACATCCGGTGCCGGACAAGACTTTGTGGAGGGAAGTGGAGGAGTCGGGAGCTGAAGGGGAGTCATTGGCTTTGTCGGCTGTAGTGATAAACCCGCCAAAGTCGCTGAGGCCGCCGGGAAGGCCGAGGAAGAAGAGAGTGAGAGCTGAGGATCGTGGGAGGATGAAGAGAGTCGTGCATTGCAGTAGGTGTAATCAAACAGGGCATTTCAGGACGACTTGTGCTGCACCTATATAAAGATCTGTGTTTGCTGATGATGATGATGCTGGTGTTGCTATATACAATATAGGCTTCGTGGAATAAGAAAAAGGTTCTCTTAAGCTATATATAGATCTATAGTCCCTTTCTTTCTTGGATTTTTTTTTTTTATTTGAGACGTGACGTGCTTATTTGTTTCTGCATTAGCTGAGTTGTGAATTTGTGTGGTCTTTGATTGATGTCTGATTGATAGGTTTTTTTTCTTGGCAGTTGTGATACAGTTTTGCAGATTTTCATTTTTTATTAATTCTTAATGTGATTTTCGCCAACTCGTTAATGGTGTTTTGGTTTGAGTTTATGGAGGAGGGACCAATTACTAAGGTAAGTGTAGTTAAATAACCTAGTAGAGAATGTATGATGGGATTTGTTGTAGTTTGTGGTTCAATGTTAAAGTGCTTGAAAATCATATTTACGTTTGTAATTCCATTCGAGTTTGATGCCCACATGCTCGGTAGAGTTTGTATTAGAGTAATAACCAAAACTTGAAGATTTCGCTGTTGTACCCATGTTCTCATTCATAAAATTGCTGAGGTATGCAATCCATCTTTTATTATGCACTCAGTAGAATTTATAAACTAAACTCTTGACCTAGATTTATTATGTATGCAATCCCTCAAATTTATATATACTAAGCAAGCGGGGCACATAATAATTGCAACTTGAATTTTACGCGTTCTTTGACGTTGCAATTTAAAG